TCCGCGCTTTTTCCGAGCCCCTTCATAGCGGAGTTTATTTCGTTTAAAACAATCGGACATATCGAATTCATAAACATCGAAACGAGGCCGAAATATCAAAATTGGGCGGAGAGCGGTACAATATCAATATACCGGGTGTCAGATTTCGCGCTGCCTCATTGCATCATTGCGCCCGAAATTAAGCATTTCAATATGTGCGTGTTTACGTAATACAAAATGCAAATTACAGCCCTTTGTTAAACGTATAAACAATAGGGATGAATTCGAAATAACGATCCATGTTAAAAATTAAAATTTACAATGTTACAATGTATCGAGAGATATTCATTTAATTAATTTGTAACGTTAAGAAGTTACTTTCCATAAACAAAGAGGATTTGAAATGTGTAGCGTATTCTTGTTTTTTTTAACACTTTTCTAAGAGACAAAGCTTTTACGCGTTTCGTTGCGAGAAGAGGAATGTAATGCATATATAATATCCAGGTCGTATCCTTAGACAGATTTTACAATGGATCCTTTTCTAAGTTGCCCCTATTCTAAGTTTCCCTACGTTCCTTTCAGAGATTTCAAGCTTTTCCGGATGATCTTAACGAGATTACCGCCTAAAAGTTATATTCGCAAAGTTTTATTATACACATAATAAAGTTTTATTATACACATTGTTTCCTCGCGACGTAAAGAAGAAACTGTTAATTTCTCTAACTTCTCGTATGGCTCTTCTTAGATTTATCTCGTATGGAGGTAACCAAGCGTATCATCCATCTCTTTAACACCTCGACTATACGCGAGGCTATTGTTGTGTTTTTTTTTTAAATTTTTTATATTCATGTTTTTAATTTTTTTTTGGTTTGAGTATAATTGGCTACGCCCCTAAAACGCGGATCAGATTGGAAGTGTGTTCGTCGAGTGTAATAACATAAAAAGGTAAAAAAAGATTTCTTTGGATGGTTGGAGGGAAAAGGATGGGGAGGAGAATAGGTTATGAAGAAGAGGAGGAGGAGGAGGAAAATGAAAAGGAAGAAGACGAAGAAAAGGTCCATTAAAATTCTACAGTTAAGCATTCTCTTCTTACTTGCCCGTGCAATTTGATTTCTTGTCTATATTGCGTTTTACCCACCATTAACCTCGCTAAGGTTTAAAGCTGCTCAACAGATCTGGGATGTTGTAGTGAAGAGTTACCACAGGGATTAAGTTTCTAAGATTTATATATATGTATGTGTAGTATTAGTGATGAATCATAGCTAAGATTTTTAATTTTGTTTTCCTCTGCATCATCGTCTTAAAATTTACAAAGTATGTTAAAAGCCGTTGAGAAAAATATTCAAATTAGCGAGTCCCGTGACAAATTCTTCCATCGGAACTCATCAATCTTTTAAATCAAAACGAGCCGCCTTTCAGTGACGCACCCCATCCAACACCAGAACACGAACATCTCCAAAACTCACCTCCTCCTCGAATCATGCCACGTCATCAAACGTGACCGATGATCTCCAACTATTTTACATAATTATAATTTAATTCAAACCATATGGTTTGAGTTAATCCGAAATAATCTTAATTTAATGCTCGAACTTATTTCTAAATTTAAGAGAAGTAAAAGCTTTTTGTTGCTGATGTTATAAAGACGAAAGAAATATATCTTGTTTAAAGTTTTAAAAGAGGTCAACGTGGTCATTTCACGTTGCTCAATTTCGAGGGGTGGGTGTAAACTACGAAGGAGAGAAGTTACAGAGGCATGATCCTCTCGTTTCGGTGATGCTCGCCACGTGCAAACCGGTGACAATACGTGTCGTCTTTCGTATTCAGCAAATTGGTGCTGAAACTTACGTGACCAACCTCTATCCTATATCCAGGAAGTAACATGGTCAATTTTGCACAACACTACCCAACCTATCCTAACCGAAACTGATGCGTACCACGTTGGCTAATTTTCTTAAATAATTTTATTTACATAAAATTTTAAAACATTGAACAGAGACAATAAGAAAACGAGCGAGAAATAAACTAACCGAGGCGACCACAGAAGGCCAATTAGTCAAATAAACTTTACGATCCTGAGACTCGACTCTCGGCTTGTGAAGGTATCAGATTTAACGAGCCTGTCGACGAATATTAATCGCGCGGTAATAATAGGCATTATGAGCATGAGTTAATAATAAAACCGCAGTGGCATCGTTAAGAACCATTCCTCGACGACGTTATTAAGTCACATGATAAAAAATTTGTTAGAACTTTAAAACAAGCCTTCTTCAATTAATTTAAATTTAAGCACAAATCAATACAACTAAAAAAACGAAATATTTTAATTAAATCTTTTTAAAAAACTCTATTAGGAATAAATATTTAATTATCGAAAGAATTTCGAGATCAAAAGACTACTGATGAGGACGAAAATTAATGAATTAGTGATGAAGATAAGATGACTAGAAGGATACGTAAAGAAAAAGGGGATATAACAGGTATAGTTAGCAATAATTGTAGTCGTTAGCGAAGCATTTTTTCAATCTTCAAGACGGGATCGTTTCGTATAGATTACAAAAGGCATTCGCCAAGCGTGTGTGGTCACGTCTTATAATTGCCGTCGAAAACAAAATTATCGGTTTATTTTGCTAAAGAAATCGCGTGTTTAAAAAGAAAATTGAGCTTGTATTCAAGAAAAGATGAAAAGGGTTAAGTGAACGTGGAATTTCATTATGGGTAACTGATGAAACTCTCTCTCTCTCTCTTTCGTAAAGCCCACATAGTAGACCAGCTTATGTTGAGGAATGTCTTAGAAGATTCTTCAATGTCTGGTAGTTTTGACATATTTGAGCTCTTTGGTGCGTACTAAATTAAAACAAAAAGATTAAGGCCCACATTTACCACCTCTAGTTAAAGTGGTTGTTAACTTTAACTAATGGTTGGCGCAAAAATCGGCTTTTATCACCATATTTACCTTGTTGATAGCGCTAACTAATAGTTATTTTCGGTCTATCCATAACTATCGGTTTGGGGGTCGGGTTAAATATTTACCTCATTGATAAACTTGGTTGAAGGTATTTTTAACCAGATGGCTTAACATAAATCTAACCTAAAATCATAATTAACGCTTACGTTCGCTCAAAACTCCATAATAGTGATTAAAACGGTGTTATTGTCGTGTTATAACAGTGTTACACAGCGATAGAATAAAAAATCATGGATTTCGAAAGGTTTGAAATTGATGAGCAAGAAATCTTGGAGAAAATTAATTATCTCTTTCCCATTCGGGGTGGACGCGTAATAAAAGACAGAATAGACCACCAGTAAACTGATGAATTTATTAACAAATTTCGATTATCAAAGGAATGTGTGTTTTCACAACATTTTAGCACAAATTGATAATGACATCAAACCACGAACGAGGAAGATAATAGATTATATATGTATAGCACCTAGTTTTTATCAGTAGAAGAATTAATAATTAATTTTTTTTAGAAATTCTGCAATCCCTGTTTCAAATAGATTGTTGCTTACTTTAAGATTTTTTTGCTACAGGAAACATGTTATTAGATATAAAAACAAACTTTATAATTATAAAAAATAATAAAAAAAACGTTATTTACAATAAATATGTACATTATTGTTATTTAAATATCGTCAACAAGTATTTAGAAAATAGATTAACTTTCTTTTTCTTTTCTTAATTTTTTTATCTCCACTTCTTTTTTCAATTTTATCACTTCCATCTCTTTCCTTCTCATTTTCTAACATTAATGTTGTTAACTCTAATCTTTTCTTTAATAACCCATTATAGGTATCGCGTACAGCTTTATTGGACACTACACCATATAAAGCAGATCAATTTTTTATAAATACATAGTAGGTTAGTTAGTATTTTGATTGTACTTTTACTTTTCCTTGTTGTTTGCAAAACCCAAACGTTATTTTCCACGTACTAACGTGGCTATTTTTATTTTCGAGGACATTTATATGATCCGCCACCAAGTCAAGTAAAAGTGTTATTTCTTCAGGTTTAAAATTTGCCCCCCGAATACGCTTTTCGGCCTGATTTACGGTTTTTATTTTTTCGTGATCGTTAATTGCCACTAACAGAACTGACAGGTTTATGAGAATTACCCACGAATTACCGACGGACAAAGGAGATAGAAACCTGTAATACCTCTTTTACACGTAGTCACCAACAGTCATTTTAATATTCCCCTAGATTTTTACGTTAACTACTAGATAGCCTATCCATTAGTTAGATCGAAATGGTAAAAGTCGTTTCGCAGTTAACTAATAGATAAACGTTATCCGATAGTTAGACTAACGACCAATTTAACTAGAGGTGGTAAAAGCGGGCCTAGAGAATAAGAAAGTCAATGAAGTTACCCGACGTCATCATTGCAAGTATGCACCAATACTATGATATTGGTATTGCAATACGCAAATCGCGTATTGTGCGATTGAATGTTGCGATTCATTGAATCACTGAGAGAAAAAGTGACGTATATACAACGAATTTCTTCGTTGTATCAATAAAAATAACAATAAATTAACCCGATGAAAAAGTACGTTAACACAATGAACATTTTGCACAGAAGGATAAACTCGTTCATTGATTAGTGTAAATTTATTGCATGAATGAATAGCGTACATTGCTTTTTTCAAATCACATTTTATTGAGCCAACAAAGTCGAACATTATAATTATGTGCAGGATTATCCTGCCAATGATACTACTTTATAGTATCGATTAAAAATATTCATTGCTGCAATAACATCATACAATGTAATTATGCACAGGTTTATCTTTCTAACGATGCTAGTTCACAGTATCAATTAAAGCTATTCATTGAGTCAATAACATCATACGTTCTTACAATGTACATATTAATCCTACTAATGAAGCTACTTCATAAAATATTTCTTTATCCAATAAATATATTTCATCAACTACATGAACATTATATGTTGGGACAATGAAATTATTTGTTGCTTTAATGCTATTATATTTATATATATTTTTTAGGCTTTATTGTACTGCAACACATATCTAAATAGGTGTTTTATGGCAACTTCAAAACTTTAAATTTAAATTTAAAAATATTCTCGCCAATTGCCATCATAAAAGGTTGTATTAGTGATGCCACATAACGGCTGCTACGCCACAATCTAGAATTAACAAAATAAATTCAAAGAAGATGTGAAGAAATCCTATTAAGTAAAGCATATTTAGATGAACTCACCGTCATCATCATTGGTACACATTTCTCGTAATTGTTTTACGATGTTGCGTACGCCTTTTTCTTTAACATGATTTTTGTCACTTAGGAATGCATAATTATCTCCTCACATTGCTTCCAATTCATTAACCAACTATCGTGATTAGTATCAAATCCTGCCGTAACGCCCATGTTAATCTGTAAAATAACATTTTATAAGCTTTTTTGGTATAATTACGAAAGAGGCATTGTTTATACCAAACGAAACCCATATGGCCTTTTATAAAATGGCCATTTTTCAAGTAATTCTGATGTTGAGGTTACCGTTTTAAAGTCTGTAAACCTTAACTGTCTGCAGGCTTTCCAAGCATGGTCAAAATCTTCGGAAGAGAGATTGTCATATGTTAATGATCAAATCATTACTATCAACAACTTAAAATACCTACCAAAAGTTATTATCATCAATGCACCTCAGTTTAAGTATCCTTCTAAAATATTAATAGACATGTTTAAAAAGAAAACAAACAAAGTTGAGCACTTTAAAGAACAAAAATTATCTCAGGTCAAATATAAATCTACAATTTAATAGTTTTTGTAACAGATAATAAGCTAGCACAGAATAAAGATACGATTTTTGGAAATAAGCAGAAACCGGTAGAAACAAGTAAACAAGGTTCGTAAGGGACGTAAGGTTCGTAATCATAACTTATTGGATTTGTTCGGTTTTTTTAATGTTTAGTACGTTGCGATAATCAATATTACGTTAATTTTCCGAACTTGGCGTTCTTATATAATATTGTTATTGACACAACAAATTATTTCGACGTTATAATGTTCTATTCATTATAACGTCGAAATAATAAGTCTCCCTAATAAAATAATTTGTTGAGACAATGATCATTTGTACACTAATATCAATAAATCGGATTCGTAATGTTAATAATTATGTTTACCAATTTTTCTTCGATGTGTACATTTCTGTACTTGTTCATTGACCAATAAACGTATATATTAATACTACGAATTCGTGTTATTGATTTTTATTATCAGCATAACGAAAAGTTTCAATGATGTAATGATTGAATACTTCGCCCAAATTAAAAAGGTTGTTGCCAGAATAATTTTTAACATTAATTTCAATAAATCGGATTTGTAATATTGATAAATGCATTATAGAGTCATTTTCTATAACATTTTCATAATATCGATGAAAATTTCAATGTGACAATAAAGTTGCTATTAATAAACGGCGTTTATTAATAATACGTACAAAATTTCTTTCAGTGTAGAACAGGGCTGGTATAAATAGTGATGCCAAAAAACATTTAGACGACCCGAGTAACTAAAATATGGCAGGGTTGAACTTGAAACAATACGAAATAATCATTATGGGATATCGAATTATGGAAAATACGTTTGGGTTGGTCTACTTTGGGAACTCAACCCAACCCAATCCTAAAGTAACCTAGCTTTAATGCAACCCAAATATAATGCTAATTTAATACAGTAAAGTGTTGATTATCCGTGAATCATTTAACCGGAGTTCGGATTAACCGTGCTTGTGATTTATATATTTTTTAATTTTAACAACAAATTCTTTACGTACTCCACCACGCCCGAGAACTTTTTAAGACTTGCTCGTAGCAGCATAAAAGTTCTAATGGGTGTCTTTACTGGGCATAGCCGATTAAAAGCACACCTCAACTTATTGGGTTTAGCCGACGATGTTGAATGCCGACTATGTGCGGAGGAAGCAAAAACGGTTGAGCATGTTTTATGCCACTGCCCTGCTGTTAACGGTATCAGATTCTCGATTTTTGGGTCGCAGTTTATCTCCTCAAAGGATCTGAATGACCTTGTGACACCTTAATTACGATAACAACAAAATTACATATAATAACCAACACCAAATGCAACACGGGTCCTCGCCTAGCTCAATATATCAAATTTTATTAGCTCAATTGGAGATTGGGTTGGGTAGAATTTCTTTAAGGCGCCACACAGCCTTAAAGAAATTCTACCCAACCCAATCTCCAATTGAGCTAGGCGAGGACCCGTGTTGTATTTGGTTGCTCCCGTATTGTCCACGAACTGTGACGTGAAGTTGGTAAAGTGAGTGTTGTAAACAAATGACAAAGCAAAAAAATAGAAATTTAAAAATTTCGCAAAAATCAAAACAAAATAAACTATACAAGGTTCCGAATACAAAATTCAAAAAAAATAATGTCATTAGCGATTGAACAATAAAAAAATAATGTCATTAGCGATTGAATAATAAAAAAATTCAAAAAAAAAACTAAAAAGAAAATCCCTAAATTGAACCCGCACGACACCGTATATTTGAGCTCAAAATAAAGCCGTAATAATAAAAAAAATAAAACCGAAATCAAAAATAAATTCGCTAATGAAAATTATTTAACAACAAAACAAAAAAAATAATATTCAGAACCAAAAAAAAAGTGATCAAACAATTACTTTTCGTACAACAAAAAACTAATTAATTCAATGGTCAAGAGATCAATAGATCAAAAAAAAAAATGGTAAGTAGAAAAAAAGTAACTGAATTATACAGGGTGTTTCAGGTTTTTGTAGCAGGACTTTAACAGTCGATAGATCTTTTAAAATTAACACAAAAACTTCATATAAACATAGGTCGACAAACGCTTTGTTTTAGATACGGGGTGTTCAAATTAAATTTTTAAATTAATTTTTATTTAATATTAGACGTGTATTTCAACCGATTCTTTTCAAATTTGATATACGGAGGTTTTTTGGCACGGGAAAGACGATTATGGAGTCTGTTTTACTATAGCCGGTAGAGGGTCTGTAACGTATTCCTTACGGATTAAAATAACAATAACTTTTCTGACAGTATACTTTTTGGCTTCTTAAATAAGAATTCTTATTCTCGGTACTTTTTTAAGCAAAAACGGTACTCTAATCAAAATGCGCTAAAGTTGATCGTTTTCAAGATAATCCGCTTTTTATTATTCGATGTAGACCAATTTGTTCCCATCCAATCGTCTTTCCCATGCCAAAAAGCCTCCGTATAACAAATTTGAAAAGAATCGGTTGAAATACACGTCTAATATTAAATAAAAATCAATTTAAAAATTTAATTTGAACACCCTGTATCTCCAAAACAAAGCGTTTGTCGACCTATGTTTATATGAAGTTTTTGTGTTAATTTTAAAAGATCTATCGACTGTTGAAGTCCTGCTACAAAAACCTGAAACACCCTGTATACAATACTTTTAAGTTCTAATTCTTTATTTTATTTTAGGTTTTTATCTGACCTTGACTGTGATGAACCTAATCCAGTTAAGTCTTCTTCCTCAGCAACGCCTTCCAGAACTTAGAAAAGGATGGATATTAATGAAAGAGATGGAGTATTGGATTCCAAAAATTGACTCCCAATATAAAATTTAATAATTTGTTTTCTCCCAACAGAAAATGCAAATAAACCAAAGAAAATGCTCTCCAATACAAAAGGCCTCAGATCTTCGAGGCCTTAACCAGGATAAAAATTTTGTTTTTTAAATATGATACGAAGAAAATCCGAATAAACCGTAAACAGGAATGAAATAATCACTTCCCAAACTATTTCGCACACAAGTGATAGATGCTCCAAATAAGGAAAATGGAAATTTCCAACCAAATAATTTTAAAATTACCAAAACGGCTATCATCAAAAATTTCGGAAACTCGCAGGTGTGGCACGTATCAAAGCTGGTTTTAAAGAGAGCGAGAATCATCTCTGACGATTTGTAAAAATACTCTCGTTGTACAACAAACTGAACTTGCGCATAAACAAAATTTGAATAAAAGAAATAAAAAGAAAATAGGAAAGAATTGAAATCAGGAATAAGAGGAATATAAAAATAGAAAATTAAGGAAGTTCTAGAAGTACGCTGCTAAAAAAAATAAAATACAAACAAATGTATTAATAAAAAATAAATAAACATATTACGTTACGCGTATTATGCAACCCAAAATTATTTACCATTTATTGCCACAGATAAAAATACAAAATTACATAAGATACACTTAACTTAAACTGTATCACCAAAGGGATCATTTTATCGCACAAGCGATCTCTGCCAAATGACCCAACAGAACAAACAGAAATAGAAATAATATTTACTGAATATGGCAAGCAGTGATAATTAGATATCATTAACATCACCAAATACGATTAAGCAAGAAAAAGAAAAACAAAGAGAAAAATAAAGAAAAACAAAGAGAAAAATAAAGAAAAGACACGAAAAGAGAGATAGAGAGCGGCTAAAAGAAACCAAAAGAATCTGCCGGATATCAGTTACCAACAAGTGAGAGCAGTTGAAAAGAGGAGAAAAGAGGAAGACAAAGAACAAAGAATCAGGAAACAGCCAGTTGAAGGGCAAGCAAGTGGCTTTTTAAAACATGTCTAAAATTAGTATTAGTATAGTTAGTATTCCACAGCGCAATCGACTGTACTGTAAATGATCTATGATAAATTTCAGTGCTATGAACGGGAAATGTAAGAATAGTATCAGAACGTGAACGAGTAGCAAGCTCATGAGTTGATAATTGCTGGAACCTATCTGATAAGTACTTTGGGGTGCAGTTATGAAGGATTTTAAATAAAATGGTTAATAAACGAAAGGATCTACGTCTCTCACAGGTTAACATCTGAATGTAATTGCGATACGGCGTTACATGCTCAAATCTATTTAGGTCAAATATGAACCGGATACAATTATTTTGTAGCCGCTGCAATTTACTCAGAAGAGTCACCGAGAGATCGGGATAAACCGCGTCCGCATAGTCGAAGTGAGGAAATATAAGTGAGTAAGAAAGATTACGACGCACCACAGGAGGAAGAGAGCAGCGAAGTCTTTTTAAAGAGTGGAAGCAAGCATAGACTTTTCTGCAAACATGTTGAATTTGCGGTTTCCAAGACAGTGCAGAATCCATAAGGTCTCCAAGATTATTAACTGTGTTAGAAAACCGTATGACATTACCATCCAGCATCAGATCACTGCAGGTAGATGGATTAATCTTACCAAGTAATTGACGAGTTCCAAACACAATAGCTTGAGTTTCAACTGAGTTCAACTTAAGTTCGTATCTCCGAAACCAGTTCAAGACGTTAGATAGATCGTTATTAAGTCGCACAATAGCTGCCGGAAATTCAACAACAGTTGTAGTAGTATATATCTAGAGGTCGTCAGCATACAAATGATAATTACACGAGATACAAAATCTTCCTTCTTTGACAACACAAAACAAATTAACACCAAAACAATACATTAAAGACCTACCAAAAAATCAGACCATTACAACCTTTCACCGAGTAAGGTATTAATGTTCGTTAAGAGCATTGGACTGCACGGTGAAATTTGATAACGATATCTATCGGGGTACAATAGATCCTTAGGGTTGGTTGGTCCGCCTACCCGATATGTAGTCTATTTAATGTAATGTAATGTAATGTGTGAAACATCAGCTGGCCCATAGGAAAACAATGAAA